TTTTTCTCTAGAATGGATAGCCAGACTAAATCATCCACACTGTCACTGCTGCAATTTGAAGCTGGAACTCTTTCAGTTACCTATCTTAGCTTACCATTGCCTTCAAGAGCAATCAGAGCAAGGGATTGCACTTCATTAGTTGAGAAAATTACAAGAAGAATTGGGAATTGGACTTCAAGATTTTTATCTCATGTTGGGAGGGCTATGTTAATTAAATCAGTACTGTGCTCTATTCAGTCCTATTGGTCTCAGGCCTTTGTGTTACCTAAGAAGATTTTTGATGAGATCAACAAGCTTCTGAGAAGCTTTTATTAGTCTGGGGTTGAATTTAAGAAAAAAGGAACAAAAGTGGCTTAGACAGCAGTGTGCAGGCCAAAGATATTGGGTGGCTTGGGGTTTAATGATATTGAGATTTCAAATAGGATTGCTAATCTGAAGCATATTTGGAAACTGTGTCAAAGGAAATAGAGCCTTTGGGTGGCATGCACTTACTCATACTTAATTAAAGACAAAAGTTTCTAGACTGTAAAGTCTTCTTCACTCAATTCTGGATTTTGGAGAGGCTTATTGAGGCTAAGGGAAATGGCTAGAGGGCTTATCAAATATAGGGTGGGGTATGGTAAAGATACAAGGCTGTGGATTGACTACTGGCTTCCCAATGGACCAATTATGGAACAGCTAAGTGTCACGGGCCTAGAGATTTGGCGCAGCGGCACGGCCTGTGCGGCACCAAGACATTGCTTCAGCTCGCGCAAGTGCCCTGGTCAGCCACCATGACCTGCCCTCCTAAGGATACATGTTGACTGGTTTCGGCCTGCCTTGGCCTCGTCAGGGGAATGGCTCTAGCTCCCGACCAGTTTGTGCAGGGATGGCCAACTCCCTTCTTTATAGTCAAGTCCACGACCAGCGACAAGCTCCTCGCACTCAACCGAGTCAACCTGCCTGAACTCTGAAGAGGTTCCATCCTGTACTCCTGCACTCCCCTTCCCTGGAACCATTCCCAGTCAAACTCTGTTCTTTTCCAACCAGCATGCGTGTCTTCCATCCTCTAAGCCTCTTAGGAATCACTTCGTGACACTCTTCCCCACCCAAATCCTGCAACGCCCTCGTCGCAGTGCGACGCTTCACTACTGTGTTCACTCCCTTCCAAAGTCTACCTCTATACGGTATGCTTGCCTTCCCACTATCGCTTCCTTGTGCAGCTCCCTGCACTGTACTCGCCCAATGATAGGCCTCGGACCAAGGGGACGTCCATTCCTCAAGGACGTGACTCTTCTCCGTCATACCGCCTCCGCGACATCCCGAGCAAGCAAGGGCCTCTTGCCGACTTGATGCTCGCCCTTCACCATGGTTTGCATCACCCAAGGACTAAGCAATTACTTTGGTGCGCACGGCCCTCCGGCCCTCCAGTGGGTAACTTCAACTGACACTTTTTCCTGGGGAGATGGAGGCTCTCCCCCCAACTACATTGATTCTTCCTCATTGATGTAGCTTCAGTGCACTGTTTTTATTCTCTGAACCCTCCCGGACCGACAAGATGGCACCCCACCGTGCTTTACCCCAAGTCCTGCTCTGATACCATTTGTCACGGGCCTAGAGATTTGGTGCAGCGGCACGGCCCGTGCGGCACCAAGGCGTTGCTTCACTCGCGCAAGCGCCCTGGTCAGCTACCATGACCTACCCTCCTAAGGATACACGCTGACTGGTTTCGGCCTGCCTTGGCCTTGTTAGGGGAACGACTCTAGCTCCCGACCAGTTTGAGCAGGGATGGCCAACTCCCTTCTTCATAGTCAAGTCCACGACCAGCGACAAGCTCCTCGCACTCAACCGAGTCGACCTGCCTGAACTCTGAAGAGGTTCCATCCTGTGCTCCTGCACGCCCCTTCCCTAGAACCATTCCCAGTCAAACTCTGCTTTTTGCCAACCAGCATGCGTGTCTTCCATCCTCCAAGCCTCTTAGGAATCACTTCGTGACATAAGGCTCAATGACATGGAAATTCTTCAACTGGACCTCATGGCCTCAGTTGATAGCCTAATTTCCACTAATCATTGGATGGTTCCCTTATCACTTAGTCACTTACAGTTTTTTCAATCTTTGAATTTTCTTTCTCAGCTATACTCATTACCTCCCCCCTTTGATGAACAAGACAACATTGTTTGGCTCCCTAGTCCAACTAGTACGTACTCCTTCTCAAATACCATTACTTGTTTTGCTCCACCATCTCTAACCTTTGTGTGGCACAAACTTATCTGGTTCAAGAATCATATTCTAAAGCATGGCTGCATTGCTTGGTTAGTAGTTAGAGGGAGACTTTACACCTTAGATTCAAAACCAATGCTCCATAAGCACTATGTTAATAGATGCTACTTGTGCCTATCAGAGAATGAATATTTGGATCACCTATTCTTCCGGTGTTCTTACAGCTCATGGATTTGGAGTTTCATTCAGGAAGTAGCAGGATTTCAGTTAATCCCTAATTGTTGGATGGATTTAATCCATTGGTGCTCAACACATTGGACCTTTTCAGATTTCTTGACTCACAAACTCTTGCTTTCTTCAGCAATCTATTTCTTATGGCAGGAGAGAAACACTAGAGCTTTTAGAAATGTCTCCACCTCACACCAGCATATCATTTCTCAAATCAAGACTTGCACCAGAGCACAACTTGCAGCAATCAAGCTTAAAAGGGATTCCAACCTTAGACAAATCACAACTGAGCAAGATCTTCACGGTCTTTTTGTGCAGGCCTGTTCATCATCTGCAGTGCATTCTTGGTTAATCTTTTAGCTGTGCAGAATTTGCTTGAGGCAGTGTTTGCTTGTGCTTGGATGGGTTATGCATTTAGCTGTAGGCAGTAGTGTGCTGCTATGTTATGTTTTGGTTAGATTTGTTTAGTTTTCTTTGGCTGGGTTGTATCTTTCAGTTCTCTCCCCTCTTGGGGCACCATGTATATTCTTCATCTCTTTAATACAAGCTTACCCTTTAACCCAAAAAAAAAAAAAAAACTTCTTTTAATTTGAGTGAGAAGTTGCATACTGTTTTGATATGAGAGAGAAGCGGCGATGCTTCTCATTCCCATCACAACAGTTCAAATTGTCCAGGCTTCAAATGATTATATATTTCCAACCAAGGTGTACCACACCCTTGCACCGGCAACAGTATCACTGTGAAAATTGTGGATCGCTGCCAATCACCTGCATGCCAGGCCATCATTGATCTCTCTTAAGAAGCCTTTTCCGTCATTGCTGATCCTGCAGCTGGCAAAATTGACAACGATTACTAGTAATGCATTCATATCAATTCAATTTTAAATATTATATATATATATATATGTGTGTGTGTGTGTGTGTGTGTGTGTGTGTGTGTAACACTAACACACCATTTTTTCTTCTTCTTCTGATTTTCAGGATGTGAAGCTGTCAAGAATCCTAGCTACTCGGAATAATTATTATCATTATTATTTTAATTTTTATGTACATTGGTGCTGGAATAATAGGCATGGACACAGAAACCTTTTCCACAGATGATACCATGTAATTCTTTTTTTTTAAAATTCGGATACCATGTACTGTAAGTTGAAATAAAATTCATAGTCTAAATGCATAAATTTGAATGGAGACGTACTCATATATATATATGAAGAGCTTGTTTGAAATTAATTTCTGCAAAAACCATTCTAACACATGGAGATGGGAGACAGCCCTCAGCTCTCTAATATTTTCTCTTCGAATAGGATGATGGACTCCCGACTTCTTTGGCATACCATTCGTAAAAAAATTTAGAGGTAGTTCTGTCGACCAAAAACAAATCTTCATTTATGCGACTATTTATTTAAATTAAAAAACACCTTGAAGAACTGATATAGTTTAATGCAATGTTCAATCACTTAAATATACGAATCAAGATCCCATCATTTCGGAGTCCATTGTTGAGGCTCCGTGCAGCCCCGTATTGAGCTATGCACTGAAACGTCACCCTTTCCTCGCACAGAATCCCCTCTCTAAATATATAGATAATGAATCATATGATAGTAATAATGATTATTAGATTTTATTATTGTTTTCTTACAATATGTAGTACGTGTTAGTTAATAGTTCCTGCCATGATGAAATCCATGTAGACTGAGTTCACATTCAAGCAACTATGCATATATGCATCAACTTAAGTTCCTAAGTTCGCTATAACTAAGATTAAAAGGTCAATTTTCAATGTGGACGCTAATGACTTTGTGGCCTTAGGTAATGTGTCCTCTAAATTGGTGGGTGATTGAATTAGTAAAGGAAAAGAAGTTGGATTAAATTAAATAGAAGCATAATTGCAATCAACTAGAACCTCCAACATCACATCTGAAGGGAGGTTCAAAATATTTTTATCAACAAGAGATTACATGTGAAATAACATGGGTTGCCAAGGAGTGATTTATGGTCATTAATGGTTATTTTATTTAGCAAAAATTAAATTTAGCCCTCCCAAATGTTTTAGATTTTTTTTAATAAAGTAGGTTCGCAAAAGAAATTATTTGTGGCCTCTTCAAAGTTCAATCAACCTTTTTAGTCTTGCTTTTAACAATTCAAATCTAGTTAAAATAAATATTAATTATTATAACAACTATTAATACTCGATCTATTTATGAATTAAAGAGAATAATGCTTGAGGCTTAATAACCTCATTTATCTCTTGACAACCTCATTTATCAGCTATTTTCTATTTCTTTTCATAAATGCATTAAAATGCACTGACAAAAAAAAAAAAAAAAAATTCATTACAATTATTGTATTTAATTTAGTTTTAAATTACTAGTTTGGACCCCTCTAAATGAATATTAATTTCTGGCTCCCCCAAGGATCCATAATCCTGATTTGGAATAAGGTTTAGGGTATCCTTGGATTCTTTTATAAATAAAGATTGACTGTACGTTAGATGCATTAGCACATTATAGTAGTGTTTGGAAGTAGCAAGTGGTCTAGGGTTTCTTTACTAATTATACAAAACAAGAGAGATGGCCATGAATATATGTGCCCTCATTATCGCTGGCCTTGTCTCAAGCGTAATCTCCTTTGCTTCTGCCACACCAGGAACAGCCACTTTCTATTCAAGTTATACACGTGAGTCTCTCTCTCTGTGCCTATCCCCATGTAATATGCATGTGTACATGATCAATGCTTATGTGATGCATTTGAATTTATAACGAATGAGGAGTGACATATTTCATTCACAGAAATGCAATTGAATAGGTCTGATTTTCGAACGCTATACATTTTCTTTTTATATATTGCGCCTCACGTCAAACTAACTCGTTCTGAAATGCATCAACCCAACAAAAAATCATTAGAAGGGAGGTCATTGTAATTTTTCCTTCTTAAAACAACATATGAAATATATACCATTCTTTTGCAAGTTAGAAGGAAAGTCTAAAATCACATCATTAATATATATTTTTTGACATGGCAAGGAGGGAGAGGAGAATGATATATGGGGTGAGTCGAATCTATACTCCCAGACGATTTATTGGAGTGCCTCTACCAATTGGATTACCCAGCTCACCCCCTACATGCAATAGTGTGATGCATGCGTGTTGCTTACTTTTCAAATCCGAATTAAATTAATATATCAAAATTGGAGTCTAAATCGATCCGATAAAATCTCAATTAACAACTATCTTAATTGATATCACATATGGAGCGTGCATGGCAATCAGATGGTATGATCTCTCATTCCTTTTGTTATTTGAGTCATCTAAGGGGCAATATTCATGCCAAGTTTATGGTATGCTTTGAATATTTTTGTTCCACAGCATCGGCATGTTATGGCAATCAGAACCACGGGGTGATGGTAGTTGCAGCCAGTGATCCTCTCTGGAACAATGGAGCCGTATGCGGCAAACAGTTCAAAGTGACATGCACTGGGCCAACAAATGCCGTGCCACAACCTTGCACTGGCAAAACTGTGTGGGTGAAGGTTGTTGATCACTGTCCGGGGTGTGGAGGAACCCTAGATCTCTCGAGAGAAGCCTTTGCCACCATTGCCAACCCGGTGGCCGGAATAGTCAAGATTGATTACCAACAGTACTGATTAAGCCATATAATTAATTAGTTCTTTTATTTTTAGTACTTCATATAATAAGTGTATCAGGATTTCTTTAGCTGATTAAGTTGTGTGGGTCCATGATAATCTCATGACATGTTTGGTTTTCTTGTGATTTTTGCAGGGTTTGAAGATCTCTACAGAGATGATTCTCAATCCGGTACTGATCGAAATAAGGCATGACATTGGAATTGGGCTGTTCTTTGTATAATTTAAGTTACGACTGCCGTAATATGTAAGCTCAATAAATATATGATACTTTTAGTCCCAAAAAAAAAAAAAAAAAAACCAACCTAACCAGTTAAAAGCATATTGTGGATAATAGACGTGTGTTTGATTTAACTTTGAATAATTAAAAATAAAAAAATAAAAGACTCCCCAACCCCAAGCAATCCACACCAAAACATACACAATCTCTTGCTCCTAAAATTATATATATATATATATATATATACACACACATTTACAATATATATGAACTTAACTCGATCTAGCATTTCCTCCCACAATGGATTCCATGGAGAGAGAGTTCACATTAAAACAACTATGCATCAACATAATTTCCTAAGTTTGCTACAACTAATATTTATGCGCCAACACCAAATCAAAAAGGTTAATTTTCATCCACTTCGGATATGGCCCAGTGGTTTACTCGCTGAATTTTGGAGCTTAACAAGCCCAAGGTTTGGGGTTCGAGTCCCCCTGAGTGTTCTTTGTGGCTAGCCTTCGCTGCCATGCAGTGACTTACCCAGCCCGGGTGGGGAGGCGCCCTTCCGGGATTCTACGCAGAATGGTTTTGGGCTCCGTAGAATCGGAATCGTAAAATCGGATCGTAAATCGTAAGATTCTACTAAATTGTAAAAAAACAATTGAAACTAACTTCTTAAACAATAAAATCTATAAAATATAACAAAAATGATGTCAAAACACACAATATTAAATATCCATGAGTTCACAAATCTCAAATCCTAGCAATATTTCAAAGTCCGAATATAAATAAAAGAAAATATAGTTCAAAATAACATGACCTTACAAATCTCAAATCTTAACTCATCCGTCTCCAAAGTTAGAAATTAAAATTACATATCAAAAGGAAATTTTTTTATTAACTCTATGCAATTTCCTTTTTTTTTTTTTTTTTTCGAAAACTGAAGAAATAAAAAGACCTTTTTGTCCACCAATCCAAGTGTTACGACCTTATTCGTCACAAATATTAAATTAATCAAGAGTTAGCACAACAAATTAATGAACCACCACGTGTTAACTCGATCTCATTATATTATTAGTTTAGACTACAAGATTATACCTTGGCTAGCATCTATGGTAAGTCTTTTAAACTTTTAAATTATTTTTAATTTTTAATATATATGATAAGCCTTCAAAAAAAAAAAAAATTAATCAAATGAAAATATTGATCATGAAACCAAAATTTGCCTAAACCTATTAGTCATGGGTATGCATCCTTGAGATATAATTGATCATTTTAATTTTTTATAATTAAACACAAAAATATATTATGGAACATCGACATGCATGGTAAAAATAATTGATATATATATATATATATATATATATATATATATATATATATATATATTTCTTTTTCTGCCACTAATGAAAAATAATTTATATTCTATAGAATAAATATTTAACTTTGTATACTATACTTGGGCCAGGCCTCTTTTATTTTGTAGCCCAGAAGAAACCAACCAAAAAATAAAAAAAGCCCAAAAATAAAGGCCCAAACAACCAATTTTGTAGAATCGGTAGAATCTTGTAGAATCTTACGATTCTACCTCCGATTCTACGATTCTACCCCCGATTCTACCAATTGAGTAATTTTGTTACGATTTGACTCGATTTTGAGTTCTGAGTCGTAGAATCGTGCGATTCTACGACTCAGAATCGCGATTTTGATAACTATGGTCCTCGAGAATTAGTCGGGTTGTTGAGGGATTCTAAGGGTTCGTGCTATCACGGACACCCTGGGTTAATAAATAAAAAAATAAAAATAAAAAGGGGTCAATTTTCAATGTCTCATCAAGAACACATAAGCTACAAGTACAAGGTAACTTTGTGGCCTTAGGTAATGAGCATCTTAAGAGCATCAAACCTCAGCCCTAATTAGATGGTAACTTTAGCCGGCTCAACACAAAATGTTAATCTAAATATTTTATTTATCTACTCATCGGTGAATAGATATGTCCTACTTATCAGTAATGTTGTCTTACTCAACGGTGAATAGATATGTCCTACTCATCAATAATGTTGTCTAATCACAAATGCAAGTTTTACTCTTTATTTATTTCGTTTGGGAGGGGGTATTTATGATTATTAATGGTGATTTTATATAACAAAAATTAAATCTCGTCCTCCCAATTTTTTTTAGGATTTTTTAATTTATAGTTATATATATATATATGTGTGTGTGTGTGTGATTATTAAAGGTGGCTTGCAAAAGTAATTATTTGTGGCACCTTCAAATTCCAATCAACCTTTTTTAGTCTTGCTTTTAAAAATTCAAATCTAACTAAAAAATGTTAAATATTATTACTATGTATTTATATTATATATATATATACACACCCACACACACATACATTATACATATATATTATTTTTTATGAATTAAATAGAGAATAAAATTTAAGAATGCTTGACCCCTGACAACCTCATTTATTCAATTGTTTTTTTTGAAAGGCATTATTCAATTGTTCTTATCTCTATTTTTTTCTTTTCATAGAAGTATCATTTATGGGGATGCTCTTAATAGTCTGCATTGAAAATCCATTACAATTATTTTATTTTATTTTATTATTTTGGCCCCTCTAAATGAATATTTATGACTTCCCGGGACCCAGACCCCTAATTTGGAATAAAGTCCAGGGTATCCCAAGTTTCATGTATAAATAGACACTGTCGATCTGTAAGCTGGAATAGCACATTATAGTAGTGTTTTGGTAGTAGCAAGAGGTCAAGGAATTATTTTATAATTATGCAAAAATAAGAGAGATGGCCATGAAAATTTGTGCTCTTATTATCGCTGGCGTTGTTGCAAGCGTAATTTCCTTTGCTTCTGCCACACCAGGAACAGCCACTTTCTACACAAGTTATACACGTGAGTCACTCTCCCATGTAAATATGCATATGTATGCGTCACACTGCTACATAAACATCATCCTCACTCACATAAAATAGTGAAATGCATCTCACTGTAGGCCTCAATATCTCCACCTACTTAAATTACTATTAAGATATATTTGATATTTAAATGCTTATCATTTTGAACCTCATCTGAAAGGAGGTCAGTGTAATTTTTAATTTTTTCTTTTACAATCAACAAATGAGATATATACCATTCTATTGGGAGTTAGAAGGGAGATCGTTGTAATTTTTACTTGCTAGTAATTATATCCTTAGGTATTGTTTGACAACTTAATTTAGTACTATCTCAATTTTGAACGGATTAAACATTTATTCAATTAAATGTGTTTGATAACGCAATTTGAGTATTATTGAAAACAATAAGCGGCACTAAAAATGGGGCAAAATTTTGAATACTAAAATTTTATAAAATATTTAGTTTTTTATTACCACAAATTTTAACAATTAAAATTCAGTCAGTTTTATCAAACCACATAGTTTAGCAAGTGTCCGACGAGCCCCACATGCGATAATGTGATAATGTGACATGTGTTGCTTACTTTTCAAATTCAAGTCTGATTAATTATACTAAAATTGGACTTTAAATCTAACAAAATTTTAATTAAGAATATTAAATTTGCGATTATAGTATGATCTCTTATTTTCAAAAAAAAGGTTTATTGTTGTGAGTCCTCAAAACGGCAATATTTTGCTTTAATTTAACTTCGAAAAAGAAATAGAGATACATGGTTGCAAGAGCTAGTGTGTGTTACGATGTATAGAAGTGTGTTAGGGTCGCTTTGGCTATTTTAAAAGGGTATTTTGGAGTTTAATTTTGTTTTTTTTTTTTTGGGTCAATATATTAACCGTGAACTGTGAAGGGACGGAATGGCAATTTGCAAAGAGATGATGGGCACATAATAAATAAGAAGGGGTATTTTGTGCACAATTTTTATATTACATTAAAGTTTGTTGCACTATCTTATTGAAATCAGTGTGGTGATCAAAAATATGTATGCCAAGATATGCTTTAAATAATTTTGTTCTACTTGCAGCATCGGCATGTTATGGAAACAAGAACAATGGTGCAATGATAGCTGCAGCCAGTGATCCTCTGTGGAACAATGGAGCCATTTGCGGCAAAAAGTTCAAAGTGACTTGCACAGGCCCTACAAATCCCGTGCCACACCCTTGCACTGGCAAAACTGTGTGGGTGGAGATTGTTGATCACTGTCCTGGGTGCGGAGGAACCCTAGATCTCTCGAGAGAAGCCTTTGCCACCATTGCCAACCCGGTGGCCGGAATAATCAAAATTGATTACCAACAGTACGTATTAATTAAGCCATATAATTAATTAATTCTTTTATTTTTTTAGTACTTTATATAATAAGTATACTACTAGTTCTTTATTTGAGTTGTATTTAAGTTGTGTCTGTCCCTGATAATCTCATGACATGTTTGGTTTTCTTGTCATTTTTTACAGGGTTTGAAGTTCTCTATAGAGATGTTTCTCAAGCAGTTTGTAAGGGAAATGGTTCTAGTAAAAAGACTGATCGAAATAAAGCATGCCATTGAAATTGGGTTGTTCTTGGTATAATTTTAGTTACGACTGCGGTTATATGTAAGCAGTTCAATAAATATATGATATCTTATTGACTGAGTTCTTCTCATCTGAATGCTATCATCTCTCTCCTTTCAAAAAATTTAAAATTAATTAAAAAAAAAAAAAGTTTTAAGAGTTCCAACCCCATTAAGTAATGGATGTCTGTTTGAATTAACTTTCAAGCAAAAAAAAATAGACTCTTTTTTTGAATGGTTAAAAAAAAAATAAAATAAAATAAAAAATAGACTCCCTCAATAGAACAACATTGTATTTACATTGCAAGATTGGAAGTGTTGCTCGAAGTTCTGTTCTGATTTACCTGCTGTCCAAACATCACTGTGAAGACATGGTTGTGTTCCTTTATTTGATGATTGTGAAGACATGGTGGGGTTTTACTAGTACTCATGTTGATAGTTATGCTTTTGAGCTATTTGAGCTTTGGGGTTTTATTTTGAGTTTATTGCCATTATGGGATGGCTTATGTTTGTATGGTGTTTCTCCCCTCTTTGAGGCCCCTTGTACATTCTTTTCAATCTATACACTAGCTTACCTTTTAACCAAAAAAAAAAAAAAAAAAAAAGGCATTGTATTTACATGGTCGCTATTTTTTATTTATTTTTGGTTGAGTTGAGTTAAAGAGAGAGACAGTTGTGATGAAGAAGATAAAGGTTAGAGAAGGAATGAGGTGAAAAGGGTTTTTTTTTGTTCTATTAAAAAGATAATTTTATAATTCAAATAAGTTAATTAACAATTCAAATGATAATAATACCAGTTCACAATGTATTAGATGTGACGGGTGATAATTGAGTGTTTTTATTAACTTTATCAAACGTGGGTGAGTAGTTTAAAAATGAATCAATAAGACCATCTCCAATGTTAAAAGTCATTTTCACATGTCAAATTTATATTTTGACAAGTGTTACAGTGTCAAAATGCTACATTTTAGCAATTCTGCTCTAATGGTGCATTTCATGCAAAATGCTATTTTTTGACATAACCACCATTCTTTTTCAACTATCATTCTCACCATTTATATTTGCATCAATAATATTAATATTAAACACATTCCAAGTCAAGTTGTAGACCTTATAAGGAAACTAAAATTAAACCTAATTAAAAAGAAGCAAAAATCTAATAAATCTGGTCAAAAAAGGAACCAAAAAAAAAGAAAAAAAGAGAGATAAAACAAAATAATATATATATATATTTAAATTTTTTCCAGGAATTTATATATATATATATATTATATTTGATTATATTATTATTAAAAAACAAAATATTTTAATAATAATTATTTTAGCCTCCCCAATCGCCTCCATCTGTATTCTCGTTCTCGACTTTAAACAGAGTGTTTGTATTTTATTTAGCTTGTTTGCTTTATTAAAAACAAATAAAAATATTGACACTTTTCTTTTCTTTTCTTCTTCTTCTTTTTTTATTTTTATTTTTTTTATTATGCATGGCTCCTCCTTCAACCAGGTTATCTTGCCACGGTTTATGTAACTTATGTTCACAAATTACTATATTGCTATATATTTTTGTTTTATTTTTACTGAGAAATAAGAAAGATCCAACGAGAGTGGTGCTATAGAAGAGCCAAGATTTGGCATTAAGTCATTGATTTGTTTGTTTTTCTTTGTATAAACAACAACTCGGCAGGGCAGTTATGTACAATTCGAAAGTTTGAAATGCTTTGTAGAGAGTCTCAATAATAATGTAACTGCTCACAATTATATTTTTGCGCAAATAATGAGGAAAAAAAATGGTCTTAATCACTCTGTTCCTGCTAGTATTCTAGATTAATATCAACATGAAAACACACTGAGCATGATTGTTTTTTTCAATTTCATATTATTGAAAATGTTGTTTAATAATTTTACCTTTACCAAAATATATATATATATATATATATATATGTGTGTGTGTGTGTGTGTGTGTGTGTGTGTGTGTGTGTGTGTTTAGTCCTTTTAAGTACAAATACATATATTCAAAGTATATATATCCAATATTTAAGAGGCCTAGAAGGCCAGGGATATCACAAGATGCCTTGGAGATCAGTACTATTCAGTAATTTCTAACTTGTAGGTTATATATATATATAACTTTTTTGAAAGAAAAAAAATTTACCCATTTGATAGCTATTCTATGCAAGCAACATACATGGTGCAAAATTGGAGCCGGTCCCATCTTTTCTGCAGCCCCAGCCCATATAGCAATTGTTATTTGTTTTGCTAAAATTAACATAAGAAATAACAAAGTTAGGAAGTAGCAGCCCAAATAACATTGCATTGGAGAGCTCATTTTTAAGCCCACCTGCTATATTTTGAATTGACAACCCAAATGAGAGCCCGATTGGAGATGCTCTAACGGCTCATTGTAATTTACACTAAAGCTTTTTTACTGCCACCATTAACTATGTTTGTTTATTTATTTATTTATTTTTAGTTAAAAGGTAAGCATATATTGAGATAGGAAAAGGAATGTACAGGGAGCCCCCAAGGAGGGGGAAGAACAGAACATAATACCAAACAGAAACAAACAATAACAGCAACAAAAGCTAACTAACAACACCACCAAATGTGAGTGAACAGCCAATTAACCTTTCATATAACATCCAAAATGACTAGTCATCCGAAAGAAGCCATGTGTGACAGCCAGCAAATGCACAGCCATCAATAAACATAAATTTTTGGTGTTGCTGTTTGTTAGCTTTTGTTGATGTTATTGTTTGTTTCTGTTTGGTATTATGTTCTGTTCTTCCCCCTCCTTGGGCTCCCTGTACATTTGTTTTCCTATCTCAATATATGCTTACCTTTTCTTCACAACATTTGGTTCTGACAGAACATAAATTTCTGATGCATGCATATGCAGTAGGGACTCAATGGTGGTACACCATAGACAAAAATTCCTCCATCACTAGTCCGTGTGATTGCCGTGATTGTGGGTGTATATGTATGTATGTGTTTTACTTGGGATTTTTTGTTATTTATTTGGAGGTGTTTTGAGTGGGCATGTGTTTCCTTGGTACGGGACCTCTTAAGGAGTTATTGAGGATGCTTTTAGGGGTATAGTAGGGATCAGAGAAATAAGTTGTTGAGGTCTTATTTTTGAGCCGCGCTTCTAACTTAAACAGTACATGTTATGGGGCCACGTGCTCCAAGAAAAAAAAAAAAAAAAAAAAGTTAATGAGGACAGCTACCCCCACTAAAAAAGAAATTTTTATTTACAAAATTATTCATAATTTTTGTTAAAACTTAAAAGTGTCCCCACTTAATTATTTTTGATAATCCCTCACTTTGGGACTGTTTGGTAATGAAAACGTTTTGGATTTTTATTTTAACCCAAAACAAAACAGGAGTACTTTGTTATGGAGTGTTTCAAAAAGTAATCGATTGAATGTTTGGTAATATTTTTTTATTATAAAATATTTAGAAGCAATTAAAACATGAAAATATATTTAGTAAAAAAATATTACAAATTTGGAAAAATATAATACCTAATTTAAAATGAAAAATAAATTATGCCGTGATTAAGGTATATCTATAATATGTTTCCAAGATAATACAATGATTATTTTTAATTGAGAAAAATTCATGATAGTGTTATTGAATTTATTGTTATCTTTTTATTTTTTATAACGCTAACACGCCATTTTTTTCTTCTCCTGATTTTCAGGATTTGAAGCTCAAGAATCATATCGAAATTGTTATTATTATTATTTTATTTATTTGTATTCACTTTGGTGTTGGAATAATAGGCATGCGTGAATGCCCGTCATGGACACTAATGTTGTATTTGGTGTACAGAAATGAAATGAAATGGAATATACCCATTCCAACCATTCAATTTTTTAGTATGCGATTTAAAGTGGAAATGATCATTCTTGTGAATGAAAATCCATTCCACAACTAAATCTATGGAATGACCATTCCGTTAATTTTTTTTGAAAAAATCAACTTTCCAAAAAATTCTAATATTCCAAATCCAAAAACAACCATTGCCTTCCACCACAACCACCTCCGCCTTTCATTACCACCGCCAATACCATCGCCTTCCACCACCACTACCGCCACCGACTTTCACCATTGCTCACCGCTTTTCACCACCGTCACCGCCTTTCACCACCACCACCTCCATTGCCTTTCACCACTGCTACTGCCTTCTACCGCCATCGCCACCGCTTTCCACCACCACCACCGCCATTGCCTTCCATCACCACTACCGCCTTTCATCACCACTACCACCTTCCACCATCGCTTTTCACCATCGCCACCGCCTTTCATCACCACTGACTTCCACCGCAACTACCACCGCCTTACATTACTGCCTTCCACCGCCACCGCCATCACCTTCCACAACCACCTTCCCCCACCACCATTACCACTGCCTTCGACCACCATTACCACCACCACCGTCACCGCCCTCTACCACCGCAATCGCCTTCCACCACCATCATAGTCACCTCCATTGACTTTCACCACCACCACCTTCACCACTATCTCCTTCCACCACCACTGCCACACTACTACCACCACCTTCCACCAACACCACTACCGCTTTCCACCATCGCAGCCGCCGTCTTCCACCATTGCCACCACCACCGCCATTGTCACCATTTATTTTTAATTTTTTTAGAGAATATTATTTTGTTAATTTAATTTATTTGCTAGTAAGAGGGATATTTTGGAGAATTCAATTTAAAATTTATTCCATTCACCACCTTCCACCACCACCACCACGACCTCAATTGCCTTCCACCACCACCACAGTCACCTCCATTGGCTTCCACCACCGCCACCTACACCACTATCTCTTTCCACCACCACCACCACCACCACACTACTGCCACCTCCTTCCACCAACACCACTCCCGCCTTCCACCATTGCCACCATCGCCGCTTTCCAACACCACCACCTATATTACTACCGTTTTCCACCTCCACCACCATCATCACTACACCTGCCGCTGCCACCATTTATTTTTCAATTTTTTTTAGAGAATGTTATTTTATTAATTTAGTTTATTTGTTACTAATAGAGATATTTTGAATAATTCAATTTGAAATTGATTCCATTCCAAATTTTAAATTGGTCCAACTAAATACTAGAATGATTATTATCATTCTATTCATACACATTTCATATTTACAACCAAATAATAGAATGAAAATGGTCATTTCATATCATTCCTGCACATCAAACACACGAATAAAAAGACAAATTACACTGTAAATGAAAAGACAAATTAAAGAATGAAAAATGATTCTTGCACTAAATATTAAAGAATTGATACAATTTAATAAGCTTCCATTAAAGACGATACTCTATAATTTAAGTATATAATAATTTTTCGAGGACCCTCCAAAGAATTTTCAAAAACTCTATTTATGGTACTTATTTATGTTGTTAATGATGTTTAAATTAAAGTTGGTCCTCCAAATTTTTTTATTTTGTTGGGCAAGCAAATTTTTTTAATAAAGCTGGCCTTCTCAAAAAAATAAAAATAAAAAAATATTATGATTACATATCTATGATTATTAACGGTGGTTTGCAAAGAAAATTATTTGTGGCCCTATTAGTTTTTAAAATTCAAATTAAGTAAAAAACTATAGTTACAATATATTAAGGGAAGCTATATTCGCACTCCACTTTTTAACATTTTCACTATAATCTTAAATGAAATGGTAATTTTAACCCTAACTTTACAAGTAAATAATTATTACTTTTTAAACCTCTTATCTCTAATATTTAATATTTTAGCTCTCTCTTGACAAAGGAATAAAATGAGACCAAAAAAAATTATTATGTTGAATAAATTGTCTCTTTTGATTGGACCAAAAAAATAAAAAAAATAATCATTAAAAATTATCTCTTTTGACATGAAACTCACTTCCCCCAAAATATATCTATTGAAGAAATTATTTCTTTTGTCAAGATCCCAAAAAAAAGGGTATGAAAAGAAGAGAATTAAAAAAATAATATCTAATAAATTATCTTTTTTGATAAGACTCAAATATATATATATATATATATATATATATATATATATATATTGAATAAATTATTTATTTTGACACGACCCATAAAAAATTACAAAAAAATAAAGTTACCTTTTTTGACATGATTGAAAAAAAATAACTTTGTTGAATATCTCTTTTGATTGTACCAAAAAAGTCACTATGGAATAAATTATTTCTTTTAACGGTCAAAAATAAAATTATTTGTATGGAATAAATTATTTTCTTTGAGAGAATTTCTGGAAAAAACAAAAAGAAAGGAAAAATAATAATAAAGAAAGTAAATAAGGTACAAAAAAGTTAAAAGTTGAATAATGGGTAGTTATGATATTGGAATTAAAGAATGGTGCATTAATGAATTCAAGGACCTTCTTGTCATTTTCTTTAAAAGAAAGAGGCAAATAGAGTGCAATTGGAAAAAAGTGGAGTGCGTCTCCCATTAATATTAATACTCTATTTATATATATGTATATATAATATATATACACACACACATATATATATATATATATATAATATTATTTGCTATGAATAAAAGAGAGAATAAAAAAAAAAAAATGCTTGAGGCTTAATTAATAGGGAAAATTACATATAAATGGAGTCAAAGTTTCATATTTACTTAGAGACTGAGTCAAAGTTCCATATTTCTCTAAAATGGATTGCTGATGTGGCACATGGTTTTTTACTGTTTAGAAAATTGTGGTGCCTAAAATGCCCTTTCTTAATAAAAAAGTAGTACATTCAGTTCAAAAAAGTAGTACCTTCAGTTCAAAAAAGAAATACCTTCGGAGAAAAAGTAGTACCTTCGCGGGTGTTTAAAAAACATGGTACCTGGACGCCAAAAAGTAGTACCGTCAGTTCAAAAAAGTAGTACCTTCGAAGAAAAAGTAGTACCTTCGCGGAAGGGTATTTTAGGCACCACAATTTCTAAACAGTAAAAAACCATGTGCCACCTCAGCAATCCATTTTAGAGAAATATGGAATTTTGACTCAGCCTCTAAGTAAATATGGAACTTTGACTCCATTTATATGTAATTTTCCCTAATTAATAACCTTATTTTTCACAATCTCATTTATTAGCTGTAAGAAAGTCAATTATTCTTATATCTATTTTTTCTTTTCATGTCATTTATAGAGATACTCTTAAGAATATGCATTAAAAATGCATTGAAAAAACTCATTACAAATTACAATTATTCTATTTTAACTCTAAAACTTAATTTTATATTCCTAATTTGGCCATTCTAAATGAATATTTCTGAATCCCCAAGGATCCAGGACCCTGATTTGGAATAAGGTCTATGGTATCCCAAGTTTCTTGTATAAATAGACATCGACTGTTAGATGCATTAGCACATCATTGTAGTGTTTGGAAGTAGCAAGTGGTCTAGGGTTTCTTTTCTATTTGTACAAAACAAACAAGAGAGATGGCCATGAATATATATGCTCTCATTATCATTGGCATTGTAGCAAGCGTAATCTCTTTTACTTCTGCCACACCAGGAACAGCCACTTTCTATACATCATATACACGTGAGTCTCTAATTGTCTCTCCCCATGTAATTATGTACATATGTGTTTATGTGATGTAAATATGCACATATGTGTTTACGTGATGTAATTATGTACATATGTGTTTATGTGATGTAAATATGTACATATGTGTTTACGTGATGTATGTGAATATCTGTGAGTTATGATATAGCGTCCGAAAGTCCGGCGTTCAACAACATGCCATATAGTGTAATAAATAAATAAATATATATATATATATCAACTTGGATGTGAATCTGAAAAAATAAAAATAAAAACGACTCTAGCTTCAACTTTAAATATATACATTATCAAGCTATTGTAATAATGTCAAAAGCATTCATGCCAAGCTTATGATATGCTTTAAATAATTTTGTTCTACAGCATCGGCATGTTATGGAAACAAGAACAATGGTGTAATGATAGCTGCAGCAAGTGATCCTCTGTGGAAAAATGGAGCCATTTGCGGCAAAAAGTTCAGAGTGACATGCACAGGGCCTACAAATCCCGTGCCGCACCCTTGCACTGGCAAAACTGTGGTGGTGAGGATTGTCGATCACTGTCCGGGGTGTGGAGGAACCCTAGATCTCTCAAGAGAAGCCTTTGCCACCATTGCCAACCCGGTGGCCGGAATAATCAAAATTAATTACCAACGGTACGTACTAATTAGGCCATATAATTAATTCTTTTATTTTTTGTACTTTATATAACAAGTATATTATAAGTTCTTTAATTAAGTTGGCTTTGTCCTGACTCATGACATGATCGGTTTTCTTGTGATTTTTGCAGGGTTTGAAGCTCTCTAGCGCTGTAGAGATGATTCTGAAGCATATTTTGTTAGATAAATGATTCTAGTAGAAAGACTGAAACAAGAGGGGTCTTTTCTTAGTATAATCTAAGTTACAACGGTTATATGTAAGCAATTCAATATATAATTGATATCTTAATGATATAACCTCTTCACTTTTCTAAAAGGTTTAGAGTTCAAGCTCCATCAGGGACATATTGTGAGTAATAGGTGTGTGTTTGATTTAACTTTCCGACGTCCCGGAAACTCTCCTCTCCGGACAATCCACAAGAAACATGCATAGTCTCTATACATAAAATTATATCCACGTCTATACATAAACGAGGTTTATTGCTACAGCCTATATTTTTGTTGCATCCAGACAATCAGCTAACATCGATCACCTCATTGATTTGCCAGTGACTCAAAAATAGCTGAACTTTTTTTCTATTAAAATTCTCTGTTTATTTAAGGGTCAATTGCATGCATCACGAAGGAAAAAACAGAAAAATAAAAATAATGAAAAAGAAAAACAAGAAAAAGCTCATCTCTTCTAATTTTGGATGTGGAAGCTGAGCAAATGTTTATCAGTTTGAGCTTTATGTAACTCTTATCTTGAATTTCTTCAAGATCCCAAGGAGAATTGAACTAGGTTATAAAAGGAACAACATTGTATTTACATGGTCACTATTATTGTTTGATGAGATGACTTGTATATGACCCTTTATATCTATTTAATTTAACCATAAAAAAATGTTAATAGATATTTTGTAATAAAAAATTAAAGGGAGGGAATATTCTCACTCCACTTTTTTCTAATTGCACTCCATTTACATTTTTTTAAAAAGAAAATGACAATAAAGCCTTTGAATTCATTAATACAACATCTTTTAATTTATAATATCATAACTACCTTTTATACAACTTTTCCATACTTTCTTTAATATTTGTTTTTCCTTTCTATTTGTTTTTTTCTGAAGGTCCTCTCAAAAGAAAATAATTTATTCCATAGTAATAATTTTATTTTTGGCAGTCAAAAGAGATATTTTATTTTATAATGACTTTTTTTTTAGTACAATCGAAAGGAATATTTATTGAACAAAGATGACCTTTTTTTTTTTTTTTGATGGGTGATGTCAAAAGACTTAATTTATTCAATAAAAATAATGTGGGGGGACTTATCAAAATAATATATATATTTTTTAGTCCTCTTGGTTTCATATATACATATATATATATTTTTTAGGATCTTGACAAAAGAGATAATTTCTTCAATAAATATATGTATTTTTAATAATTACTTTTTTATTTTTTTCGGTCCGGTTAAAAGAGGCAATTTATTCAACATAATTTATTTTATTTTATTTTTTTTATTTTTTTTTTTGGGGGTCCTGTAAAACCAAAAAAAAAAAAAAAATTATTGAGTTTTTTTTTTTGTCTTTTGTCTTTGTCAAAAAAAATCTAAAATAAGGATATGAAATCTAAAAAGGCACTTGTGTCATTTAAGGAGTAATAATTATTTATTTATAAAGTTAGGGTTAGAATTGCTATTTTATTTAAAATTGTAATGCAAATATTGAAAAGTAGAATGCGACTTCCAAAATTAACCTGTATCTTATATAATTAATTTGCGCAAAAAAATGGTATAATCAGAGCAGACCTCTGTTTCAAAAAGTCAAATTAAGCAATTCCTCTAGACCCTCCATTGAATCAATTTGGAGAATGATGGGCTTTTTAGGTCACATTAGAAGCCACCCGCAACTTGTGCACGTTAACGTTGAAAGCTAGATGAAAAACTCTGTTCTTTCTTTTTACCAATCTCCAAACTTTGACAAAAGTTTGAAAGTTCAAATCCAAAGACCGATTAATAGCTTATTTTGAATTTTCCATCTGTAGACAAATGCGCCATGATTACTGGTGGTCCACATACTTCGAAGGGTGTCAATCACAGTGGATAACTTGTGTGTGGTTAGTAGATCGAATTTATCCGTGTGCCTCTCGTGACATACGATCGTCCCTCTCTGTTTTTTTGTTTCTCCTTATTTTCTGGCTGATCTGGTGGCTCATACCGTGACTTTGGGATAAGGGTTATCTGCCATAAATGCCCATCAGCTGTTCTACACAAATTATTCCTTGCATTTGCAATATTTTTTTTTATTTTTTTTTTTTTGTTTTCAATGGCGAGAAATATTACACACCATTTGTTCTTTTAGAGAACTGAACCCTCCCTCACTTTCTACTTTGAAAAGTAAGAAAACATCATTAGACTATAACGTCTATAATCATTGTATTGCAACTTTGTTCGCTAAACTATTGAAAATGTTTATATTTTGTTAAAATTGATGGAGTGAGTGTAACGCAGGATCAAGTTGTAAAACTTGTATAGTATAATGGTTTTTATTGAGAGTGGTCATGGATTGAATTAGGCATCAATTCTAATTCGCTCTGTTCTCAATGAATTAGACAAATTTTAATCCGTCACCAATCCGTGTAATAAATGATCGGATCGGATTAAATATATGGATTGAGGTTTATCTAAATTATTGATTATTATTTTTAACAGCCCAATCTATAATTCGATTAGTAAGTTACAGATTTAATTTTTTTGAATTTGCCACCAATCTGTAGGTGTAATAATCCAATCCGATCCGCACGAATCAAATCGAATTTGCGAATACATGGATTATTTGCCCGCCCCAAGTTTTTATGCAATTAACCACCCAATTAGAAATTATCCACTAAAATTGAGCCTTTTTCTTACTTAATTTGCACTTTGCAATTCAATACCTCCAGCCCAAGGACAGGAAATAAGCGCAACTGTTGTCAATGTTCTATTTTGAACGACTATGAACTGTTATATATAGTATACAACTTGGAAAATGCTATAGACCATGCCGAGGAAGACTTCCAACGACCCTAAAAAAATCCGATACATGCATCCATCTAGCATGGACCAAATTACCTCCAACATCACAAAGTCTGTGTGTTCAATTAATTATGCAATGAGCAAGTCTACTATGAGGGCATTCTCACTGAACTTGATCGCTCTCTCTTTTGAGAGATTATGACGTCAGCATCTTCATGGCATAGTTTGGTTTTTCCTTGAATGGTTTATATATTCAGTTGTCATCTGTCTTGGGTTGGCCAGCTTGTTCAGCTTTGATGTTGAGCTTTTTTTTCTTTCTGTTTGTTTTCATGCTGCTTTGAGAGTTGAATTTGATTGTATTTTGTTGAGTCTTGTTTGGCTTTGAGAGTTGTATTTGATTGTATTTTGTTGAGTCTTGTTTGGCTTCCACCTTAATTTTTTTTTTTATATCTGATATAGCATCAGCATCCACAAGTTCCAAATTTCCTCTCTCGTTTTTTCGGTTAAATTTTGGTGCACATGCAATGGTCTTAATGTAAAAATTTGGCATACCTGACTCATCCGATATTCCAAATCAAAATTTAGGCAAAATATATATAATCGAACAACAACAATCAAGTCTTCGTTCAATTACTTGGACAGGCTAGATTCCTATTTTTATTCTACTTTATTTAAAGTCATAACTTTGGTCAATACACGTCATCAGCTTGCACTTTGGTCATCACAACCTCCAGCCCCGCCACAGTAAATAAATGCAATGATGTGTTCAATATTTTCAACAAGAATAAAATTTTGTACTCCCATAATTTACGGTAGAATGTGTATGCATAGAAGATGCTATAGTAGATTCTGAAGAACACTTGCGACCAGGGGCGGCTCCGCTTTAGGGGCAAAATAAAAAAAGGGCTTTTCATATCATAATATGTAATATATTAATTATTATATAATAATTAATTAAAAATCATCTTTCTTGTTTCTTGAGATATAAAATTACTAATTAAATTCTTATATTAAAATATTTTTTTTCAATAAACAATAGTCAATCCATTTAATCCTTCTTATGTTTAGTTGATCATAAATATAATTTTATTAACTTTTTGTTAGGTTTTGATTATTAGTTGTAACAAATTTATCAATAGCTCCCTTTTGAGATTGAATTAGTTTATCCTTTTTCTTTTTCTATTCGGTTTTTTTTTTTTTTTTTAAGTTTTTCAAATTTGGATTCATAATTTCTAGCAAAAATATTCAACCTTACAATATGGATAAAAATAGTCACAACTCACAAACAAATATACAAATATATAAAAAAAATATAGATATATACAATTTATAATAACAAAAGTTAGTTAAACTAAAAAATAATTAAATAAAAATAACAATATAACCTGATTTAGAAAGCCCCGATTCAATGCTACTACAAATTTTTCAATACAAGAAAATTGATTTGAACTAATGAATATTTAGTTGAGAAGAAATAAATTTGTAAAGTTGTAATAAGAGAGAATTAAGAAGAGAGATGACTTGTAACTTTTGAATTTGGAGAGAATGAACGTGATGAATAAGAAATAAATAAATAAATAAAATAAAAACTAGAAAAAGAGAATATGAAAAGTTTCATCACTTTCCCATACAACGGCTAATCTTTAATACTTATTGCGGTTCAACTTACTGAATATATATATATATATATAGTGCTGGTGTAAAAAAAGTGTGTAAAGAAAAGTGTACGAAATAGAGAAAGTAAAAAAATATATTATTTAAGAATATAAATATTTAGGCTCATATTAAGTATGTGTATTGATTATGGTTTAATAAACAACCGTGAATGAGGAGGAGAGAGAGGAAAAATGAATTATTTTAGAAAATAAACCTGGTTAGAGTTTAATTAAAAAGCATGAGAAATTATTTTAGGAAATAAAACTTGGTCAAAATTTAATAAAAAAGCATGAATGATGATGAACAAAGATAAAAAATATATTTATTTTTTAAGAGATAAATTCTATAAAATTAGTGTGAGCCACCCCGTGCTTGGGACGACCCTAAATTTCTTATGCCTGCACGTGGTAGGGACCTAGGGGGCAGACTCGAGCCTCCCCGTCCTTGGGACGACCCTAAACTTCTTATCCCTGAATGTGGTAGCTAGGGACCAAACCAGAGACAAAAGTTCCTGTCTCACTCGTCAGTGTGATGTTTATTTATCGAATGAACAAGTCTACTATAAGGCCTTCTCATTGAGCTCGCTCACTTACAGCCATCGGATTGAGAGACTTATGACGTCAGCCTCTTCGATCATTTGGTGGGAGTGTCTGCATAATAGATTTTTTTCTTATGCAATATGTGGTTTATGATTTGATGGCTTGCTGATTTTTCCTCTATAAAAGGATAGGCCTTCAGCTGATTTTCCACATAAACAGATCTTTAATTTCTTTGAGGTGTTTACAAGGGAAAGAGAGAAAAAAAAAATGGGAGTGTTTGTGCAAGTTGTGATGGTGGTGGGCATGCTTACATGCCTTGCTACAGTTGCATATGCAGCTTCGGGGACGGCCACTTACTATACTCCCCCTTATGTTCGTGAGTGTATATATATATATATATATATAGAAGTATTTCTTGGTGAAATTGAAAATCTGAATCACCTTTCAATTTTATTTACTTTATATTTGATACAGAGCACCAGCATGCACAAAAAGCTTGTGGGCGCAGATGCTGTTTTATATGTTTTAGCACCTATTCTTCATTCTTTTGTGTTAGCATGTAATCTCACACACACACACACACAAATTAGGAAACGCTCTTTTTTCTTCTCGTTTTTTTCATTTTTTTACCTAAAGCAAACACATATCTTTTTCCTCACGCCCTGCTCAAACCTGAATCTTCTTCTCTCTTTTTTTCATTTTTTTAGTTAAAGTAAACACATATCTTTTTGCTCACGTCCTGCTCAAACCCGAATCTTCTTCTCTCTTTTTTTCATTTTTTTAGCTAAAGTAAACACATATCTTTTTGCTCACGCCTTGCTCAAACTCGAATCTCACATTTGAGGATGGGGATTGAGGTTATATCATTGGGGCCAAAGGCCATTGGTGGAAGCTCTCTCTTCTGTCTTACATGACAAATCGTGGAAATTTGAGTGCAAAATGTCTCCATCACTTTTTTGCTTTGTGGTTAGTTGTAACCAGAAATTTGTGATCATTTAACATATATAACAGCCCAAAGCCATGGCTTGCCTATAAGCTTATCATATGCAGCTTAATTCTTTTACTCGTTGAAAGAAAAAAAATTGCTTATGTAACAGGAGAAACATATGCTCACGTGCATAAATTATTGAGTAAATTATACTGACCTGACCTCTCATGAGATTTGAGCAAATACATAGGGATAAAGTATTTGGCCCCTATTACTTTGATCTCCTCTAAAAATGTAAAATGTCTTTTATAACTTTATCTAATTTAATAATAGTTTAATGAAAAATCTATCAAACTAACGGACTCTATTACCCTTTTATTTATTTATTTTTTCATCTTGTAAACACCATATTACCTTACCTTTTTTATTTTATTTTTTGAAAAAAAAAAAATCTAATTAAACCCTAAAAAGAAACATAATCAATTATCATTAACCAAAACAAAAAAAAAAAAAAAAAAAAAAAAATGTTTTTATGAAATTTAATAATATAAAATTGGAAAGAAAGTTGATACTATCTATTTTAATTGCATTTCATGATATTTTTGTCATTTCATTTCAATATAATGTTACTATGTTTTTTAACACAAGTAAAGGGCAACTTTATTATTTTTTTAATTTTTATTAATTGTAGGAGTGTTGTTGAGCACAAGTGCCAAATCTAAATAAAGATCAAGCATTCTATTAATATATAATTTGCTCAAACCTAAAGAGAGATCAAGGCCAGTGGTGAGCTCTATGCCCCCCACTTACATCACACCATTTGAAATGTTAACTTTCAAACGATAAATAATTTTTCTAAATTATTTCATGAGCCATGCTAGAAAGTATAAACACCTCAACAAACTAGGCATTGTGTAATAGGGATGGTGTTAGCTATTCATCTTTTTTTTTTTTCATTTGCTTTTTTACTCTGGGCTGGGAATCCACACACCCACATGAAAGGGTAGAGTGAGAGGTGGGCGAAGGTGGGCTTTAGCCCAACCCCAAAAAAAAATTACTATTCTACTTTTAGCCCAGCCCATAAAAAATAAAAAAAATAGTAATATTAGCACACCACAAAATTAGCCCACCCCATTCAGAAATCCTGAATCAGCCCTTGCCCACATGTCCCGATATCTATGGAGACTTGAATTTCGACCTTCTTTTTTAAAAGCGAGAAAGTAACATTGAAACTGATACACTTAAGTTGGCTTTAAATGTTGGTTCTCAAATTAATTTGTTTTTCTCAGCCTCTTCATGCTATGGCTACCAAAACAACGGCGTGATGATCGCGGCGGCAAGTGATGTGATATGGGGCAATAGGGCTGCATGTGGAAGAAATTACAGAGTTAGATGCACAGGGCCTACAAACCAAGGTGTGCCACAACCATGTAGGGGTCAGAGCATCGTTGTTAAAATTGTCGACTACTGTCCTGCAGGATGCCAAGGCACCATCGATCTTTCTCAAGAAGCTTTTTCCCAGATTGCAGATCCTAATGCTGGCAAAATCAAAATTGAATATAACCAGTAAGCTAACCACATTAATTAATTAATTAATTAATCATTGCCCTTTTTTTCCTTTTTTTAATTTTTTTTTCTTCTGCAACACAAATATATACATGCATATATACTTGCAATATATGTGGCTTAATTTTTACTTTTCATCATTTTTTTTCATGTTGTGACTTGCAGGGTTTGAAGTTCTAGTAAGCTTATATATGGAAGGTTTGTGAGGGCAAATTACTGATGATAATAATAATATATAAAAAAACAGCATCCATGGTGTGGAAATTTGTATGTTTTCATGAGTGAATGTGAGCTAAAAATGTAGCTTTATAAGCAACCAAAATATTAATAAAAAATAAAATTAAAATAAAATATTTTAGCTTTATCTAATGCATGATGTATTGCATCCCATCTCTACCTATTATATATATAGTGTGGTATCTTACTTTGCTTTCATGAGTGATGTGGTGTATGATGTATTCCCTCTCTGCATTCTCAAAACTAGTTCTAAATTATATCAGACCTAATAGAAGGAAACCGCACCAGTGTTAAAAAAAACTAGCACAAGTGTGTAATATTGTCTGCCTATTCATTACGAATGGGCATTTTAAGGAATGTTGAACTATTCAATTTGTTGAACTATTCAATTGGCATTCCACTTACACAGGTTGATATTTAAAAGTCATAACGTTTTTCTATAACCAATTTATCACTCCCAACAATGGTATGAGATCATCAAAATTAAAAATATATATATTTATAGAACATGCATAACATAATGAAGATCAATATAAATTTTTTGCCCATTAAGTAAGCATTTTGCTTGAGTGGAATTATGTCAACAACATTAGCTATGAGTATGAGCAAACTGGTATGCTCGTAATAAAGTCAGATATTTACTCACTCACTTGGTATCATGCTTCTCCAAACACTTACAGCCAAACCCCCCAGTGGGTTTGAGTCATCATGTTGACTCTCAAGCGTGCAGAATTAATGAAGAAAAATAGGACGGAACTAAAAACTGTCATATTTACTCATGTCTGATTCCAGCAAATCTTCAAAGTGTGCTCGAATGTCTAAATTCAGCAAATCTTCAAGGACATTTGAAACCTGGTGAAATCTATATCAGGTCACTCTCATGTCATCCTCAGCAATATTATCAACCTCAAGCCATTTAAATTCAATGCAGCATTCTACAAACATAGTTTTCAAACGGTTGATTTTACTATAAAACTAAAAAAAAAAATTATTTTATTGTAGGGTTAAGTGCATTAAACCACTCTCAACTATGATCAGATTGCACAAAACCCCCCGAACTAAAAAATATCACCTAAACTATAAGAGTTGCAATTTATCCCACACGGTCAAACAACCGTTAAGTAAGAAATGAAATTACCATTCTATCCATTAATTAAATTACTCATTTCATTACTTTGAGTGTTGATGTGACACTTGTAATCCCTGTATCAAATCAAAATAATTCAATAATTTTGCTAACCAGACAAAAAATAATTCCCTCCAATTAAAGGATGACAACTCAATTACTAATTTAAACGTATTAAAAATACTTGTTTATATATATATATATATATATATATATATATATTTGATAAGTAAAAATACTTGTTTATATATACATATATAACAAATTTTCTTCTTGCTTCTTCCCCATCCATGGACGCATCACCGCCATCTCCCATGGTGGCACTTAAAATGAAAATTAAACGCATTTATCAACAGATCCAACCCCATTGAAGAATACCCATATCATTAACAACTTCAATCAACTCAAAAATTCAAGTTTTGTATTATTATAACATGATTGGAAAAGCAATTAAGGGAAGGGCATATTGAATACCAACCAAGATCAACCAAAATAGAGAGAGATTCTAGAAAGAGAGAGAGTAGAGAGAGAAAGTGATTCAAATAAGCAATGACGAGGAACAAAGAACGGAGATATACAAGAAGAGTGGAGGTTTAAGAGAGGACTATATATGTATATTGTAGTAGCTCTCTCTGTGTACAATCATGCAAATTCAAATCAGAGACGATATTGCAAATTCACTGATGCCTCTGCCTTCATCGACACCGTTGACGAATTGGTCGCCGTCATTCGTGACAGGACTCCCGTGGCCTCTGAGAAGCCCGTCGCCTGCAGCCTCGGCCACGCCGATGATCTGCTCCAACTAGCGATGTTTCGGCTTGAAGACGACTTTCAGATCATTGACTGATTTTTCACCTCTTCATCGTTCTTGTCATCGTCGGAGTTGGAGGTCAAAAACTGAAATAAAAAAGAGAAGGAGATAGATTGGAGAGAGGGGGAGTGACGGCAGCCATATATGGTGGAGCTGGAGGTGGTTCTAAGGGAAGAAACATCTTTGTGGGGGAAGGGAAAGCTGTGGTGGTGGCGCCATGGACGGTTAGTGGTGGTGTTGGCCATAGACAAATGGTAAATGTAGTCGGGAGAGAAAGGACAGCAGATGCAACGTTATATATATGGAAATGGAAATGGAAGAGAGTAACGTATATATACATTATTTCTATATAATATTTATTTAATAGTCATAAGGTTATTTTTGCCATTCTAAAATTTTGCGGGGGGTTTTCTGAGGGAGAGAAGAAAGTCTAAGGGGGGTTTAATGCACTTAACCCTTTATTTTATCATGTTTATAAATAAATAGAAAGAAAAGAGGAAGTTCAAATTAAAGAGAAACATTATACCTATAAAAATTCACGTATGGATGATCGTCAGAATGCATTTCTTAATTGACATGATCGATCAAGTTTTTGCAATCCCCTTCAACTATTAACTTTCGACATCCGCACTCGTGTGCCTCAAGTAGACTATGATACAAAGCCAACTTTTCAGCTTCATCTGATGAGGCAAGATAATCTAGAGAACCAGAAAATATCCTTATGACATTGCCCCACTCATCACGAAACATACACGGCCACTCTCCTCATAGTAGGAACCATCAAAATTCAGTTTTAGAAAGGCCGAGGGAGGTGGCGTATAACGAGTAAGTGGTTGAGATATGCCACTCTAATCTAAGGCCCAATATTGGAAAAGGTATTCAGAGTGCTCGGTGCACCGAGGACGTCAGAAATGTTTATGCATAACACATGCAGATGTATTCACAGAAACACCCAAGGGGAGTATAAGGTGTTCCAACAGAGACTGTGGATCATTCTCAACTATATAAATAGAATTTCTACTAATATGCTCGTAAATCTCATTTCTAGAGAAGGGATCAATAACAGTGTGGTGCCATCTCATTAAATCTATAGTAGACCGTGACATTCGGATAAGGGTTATTTGCCAAAAATCCCCATCAGCTGTTGTATACAAATTATTCCTTGCATTTCCAACTCTTTGTTTTTTCAATGGCGAGAAATACTACACACCATTTGTTCCTTTAGAGAGTTGAACCCTCTCTCACTTTCTACTTTGAAAAATAAGAAAATATCATTAAACTATAACGTCTCTAATTGTTGTATTGCAACTTTGTCTCCTAAACTATTAAAAATGTTTATATTTTGTTAAAATTGATGGAGTGAGTGTAATGCAAGGTCAAGTTGTAAAACTTGTATAGTTTAATGGTTTTTACTAAGAGTGGTCATGGATCGAATTAGGCATCAATCCTAATCCGATCCGCTCTCAACGAATTAGACAAATCTTAATCCGTCACCAATCCGTCATTACACGGATTGGATCAGATCAGATCCGTGTAATAAAGGATCGGATCGGATTAAATATGTGGATTGAGTTTTATCTAAATTATTCATTATTATTAATATTATTTATTTATCTTTCAACCATAACCCAATATATAAAATTTTAATTTATTAATATTAATTCATATATTTAAATAATTATTAACTAATACATCCTTAAAGTCCATTAATTTATTATTAACTAATTAAATTAACTAATATATTCTTTGAAATATATATATATATATATATATATATATATATATATAAATTTTATTGATCGAATTTTTAATAGCCCAATCCATGATCCAATCTGTAAGTTACGGATTTGATTTTTTTGAATCCGCCACCAATCCGTAAGTGTAGTAATCCGATTCGATCCGCACGGATCAAATCGAATTTGCGAATACACGGATTATTTGCCCACCCCAAATTTTTATGCAATTAACCACCCAATTAGAAATTATCCACTAAAATTGAACCTTTTTCTTACTTAATTTGCACTTTGCAATTCAATACCTCCAGCCCAAGGACAGGAAATAAGCGCAACTGTTGTCAATGATGTTGAACTGTTATATATACTATACAACTTGGAAAATGCTATAGACCATGGCGAGGAAGACTTCCAACGATCCTAAAAAAATCCGATACATGCATCCATCTAGCATGGACCAAATTACCTCAACATCACAAAGTCTGTGCGTTCAATTAATTATGCAATGAGCAAGTCTACTATAAGGGCATTCTCACTGAACTTGATCGCTCTCTCTTTTGAGAGATTATGACGTCAGCATCTTCATGGCATAGTTAGGTTTTTCCTTGATTGGTTTATATATTCAGTTGTCATCTGTCTTGGGTTGGCTAGCTTGTTCAGCTTTGATGTTGAGCTTTTTTTCCTTCTGTTTGTTTTCATGCTGCTTTGAGAACTGTATTTGATTGTATTTTGTTGAGTCTTGTTTGGCTTGGCTTCCAGCTTAATTTTTTTTTTTTTTATATCTGATATAGCATCGCCATCCACAAGATCCAAATTTCCTCTCTTTTTTTTTAGGTTAAATTTTGGTGCACATGCAATGGTCTTAATGTGAAAATTTGACATACCTGACTCATCCAATATTCTAGATCAAGATTTAGGCAAAATATATATAATCAATAACAATAATCAAGTCTTCTTTTAATTACTTGGATCGGCTAGATTCTTATTTTTTTTCTACTCTATATAAAATCATAACTTCAGTCAATCCACGTCATCAGCTTGCACTTTGGTCATCACAACCTCCAGCCCCGCCACACTAAATAAATGTAATGATGTGTTCAATATTTTCAACAATAATAAAGTTTTGTACTCCCATAATTTACGGTAGAGTAGAATGTGTATGCATAGAAGATGCTATCGTAGATTCTGAAGAAGACTTGCGACCAGGGGCGGCTCCGCTTTAAGGGCAAAATAAAAAAAATAAAAAAAATAAAAGGCCTTTCCATATTATAATATGTAATATATTAATTATTAAATAATAATTAATTAAAAATTATCCTACTTGCTTCTTGACATCCAAAATTACTAATTAAATTATTATATTAAAATATGGTTAAAATATTTTTTTTAATAGACAATATAGTCAATCCATTTAATCTTTCTTTGATATAGTTGATCCTAAATATGATTTTATCAACTTTTTGTTAGGTTTTGATTATTACTTTGTAACAAATTTATCAATAGCTCCCTTTTGAGATTGAATTAGATTATCTATTATTCTTCTTCTTCTTTAAGTTTTTCAAATTTGGATTCATACTTTCTAGCAGACATATTCAATCGTACAATATGGGTAAAAATAGTCACAACTCATAAACAAATATACAAATATAAAAAAAAAAATATAGATATATACAAATTTATAATAACAAAAGTTAGTTAAACTAAAAAATATAAAGAAAAAGAACAATATAACCTAATTTAGAAAGCCCCGATTCAATGTTATTGCAAATTCTTCAATACAAGAAAATTGATTTGAACTAATGAATATTTAGTCGAGAAGAAATAAGATTGTAAAGTTGTAATGAGAGAAAACTAAAAATGGAGATGACTTGTAACTTTTGAGTTTGGAGAGAATGAACGTGATGAATAAGAAATAAATAAATAAAATAAAATAAAAATTAGAAAAAAAGAATATGAAAAATTTCATCACTTTCCCATACCACGGCTAACATCTTTAATATTTACTTCGGTTCAATTTACCGAATATATATATATATAGTGCTTGTGTAAAAAAAGTGTGTAAAGAAAAGTGTACAAAATAGAGAAAGAAAAAAAAAATTATTATTTAAGAATATCAATATTTGGAGAAATATATCACATGTCCAAATCATATGGGCTACACAATTAATAAATAATCTTACATTCTCCACTTGGTCCATATGATAACTTCTCTAGTGGTTAAGTAAATAGATATAAAATTAATATTATATTATTTGGTCAACTTATTAAATTACCTTTTTGATAATTAATTATTGGAGAAGTGTTTTTCTATTTATTCCTTATTTTGATGGGAAGTGGAATTAAAGTTATTAAAAGGAAAACTGATCCTCTCCCTGCCTTTATAAAAATGGGAATATTATCCCTATCCCTACCTTTATAAAAGTGCATATTCCCATCAATTATGTACGCTAATGAAAACAACACTATAATATTTATGTGTGCAAAAGGCCAAGAGAGAAATTGGTTTCCACGCTTTGGCTATTACAGTTTAACATAAATACCTAACTATTTATTTATGCATTATACATATGTGAAAATCATGAAGTTTTAAGATTTGGGATTAATGTTTATTTGTGATTAATTCTTAACACGAATTAAAATATATATATATTATTTAAGAATATAAATATTTGGGCCCATATTAAGTGTGTGTATTGGTTAGGGTTTACTAAACAACCATGAATGAGGAGGAGAGAGAGGGAAAATGAATTTATTTTGGGAAATAAACTTGGTTAGAGTTTAATTAAAAAACGTGAATGATGATGAATATATATATTTTTTAGGAGATAAAATTTTCAAAATTAGTGTTTAATAATATCAGGAAACAATTATATTTTGGGACTTAGGCAGCCTTCTAAGCTTGTTTGATTTCCTAATTCAGCGCTGAATGCGGTAAGTGATTTTTAAAAATAACTTTGTTTGATAAAATTTTAGGACACCGATTAACATAGTAAGTACAGTTTAAAAGAGGCCAAAATTTTAAGCGTGGGGAAAGTTACTTATCACTTATCGCAAGATACGGTAAGTGATTGGATTTAAAAAATAACTTTTTAATAACTACTCTACCCTCATATAATTGTGTTACCTCTTTTAGGGTTTCTCTCTGCGATTTTTCTAATAAAAATGAATTATATGTAACAAATTCCAAAAAAATAAAAAACATAATTCTACCTAATATATTTTAATTTTAAATACGTATATAGCCTTTTGGTTACCATTTATATTGATTCACTCTGAAAAACAATTATTTATATAACAGAATTCTATTCAATTTCACGTATTTTTTTAAATATTTTTAACACTATTTTTATACCCACATCTTTTTATACTCTACAAAAATATTATGTAATTATTTATATAATAAAATTCTATTATTAGAGAAAAATGGTCTTTCACATACTTTCTTAACATTCTTCTCAATACTTTACCATGTAATCCAAAGCCCATATATTTTAAATTTTACTTTCTTTAATCTTTTGTAACGTTCTTTTTGATATCTAAAACATATATACTTTAAAATTTTATTAATTATTTATATAATAGAATTAATTTTTTATTTTTATTTTTTGTTAACCGTGGGTGTCTGGGCCAGCTTGAGCGCACCTCGGCTAATCCCACGAGGCTCTGAAAATATATAATAGAATTATGTTCCTAAATAAGAATTTTTTTTCACTTTCCTTAATTTTTGTAACACATTTTTTAATACCCTGCATAAATATTATGTAATTCAAAATACATATATTTTAAATTTTACTTTCTTTAATTTCTGTAACACTATACCTACATAAATATTATGTAATCCAAAACCAATAGATTTAAATTTTCCATCAAATATTTATATAATAAAATTTTATTCGTAAATAAGAATTCTTTTTCAAGTATTTTCCTTAATTTTTGTAACATCCTTTTTAATACCCTACCTAAATATTGTTCAATCCAAAACTCATATATTTTAAATATTATGTAATACAAAATTCATATATTTATTTATTTCATTAGGTGAATGTGGTTGTTTTATTAATATTTTTGTATTATAAATATGAAACTTTATGGGTATCAGATATTGAGTGTAAAAATATAATATGTATAATTTTTAGACTTCAATTTTTGTTTATAACAAATAATTTTAATAAATTTAGTACTTAAAATTAAAATATAATCAAACAGATTTTTAAATTAATGCATCCAATGCTTAAAATTTCAGCACCAAGTCTCAGGCCGGAGCCGCCCGGTGCTTGGGACGACCCTAAATTTCTTATGCCTGCACGTGGTTGGGACCAAACCAGAGACAAAGGTACCTGTGTCACTCGTAAGTGTGATGCTTATTTATCCAATGAACAAGTCTACTATAAGGTCTTCGCATTGAGGGTCACTTTCAGCCACTGTAGTGAGAGACTTATGACGTCAGCCTCTTCGATCATCTCACTCATGAAATGAGGGTGCATGCGAGTTTGGTGGGAGTGTCTGCATAATAGTTTTTTTCTTATGCAATATGTGGTTTATGGTTTGATGGCTTGCTGGTTTTTCATCTATAAAAGGATAGGCCTTCGGCTGATTTTCCACATAAACAGATCTTTAATTTCTTTGAGGTGTTTACAAGAGAGAGAGAGAGAGAGAAAAAAAAAAAAAAAAAAAAAAAAAAAAAAAAAAAATTGGAAGTGTTTGTGAAAGTTGTGATGGTGGTGGGCATGGTGACATGCCTTGCTACTTTCCACATAAACAGATCTTTAATTTATTTGAGGTGTTTACAAATAAAATAAAATAAAATAAAAAAAATAAAATTGGGAGTGTTTGTGAAAGTTGTGATGGTGGTGGGCATGGTGACATGCCTTGCTACAGTTGCATTTGCAGCTTCGGGGACGGCCACTTACTATACTCCCCCTTATGTTCGTGAGTATATATATATAGAAGTATTTCTTGTTGAAATTGAAAATCTGAATCACCTTTCAGTTTTATTTACTTTATATTTGACACAGAGCACCAGCATGCACAAAAAGCTTGTGGGCGCAGATGCTGTTTTATATGTTTTAGCACATATTCTTCATTCTTTTGTGTTAGCATATTATCTCTCTCTCACACACCCACACAAATTAGGAAACGCTCTCTCTCTTTTCTTCATTTTTTTAGGGACAATACTTGCATCCAACCTGGATATGTGGCCTAATCAGGGCATGACATGTGTCCATAAACACTATTAAGGGTCTGACCCGACACTCCCTTTGCTCTCTCCCCTAAAATCTGCAGCGATTGCTCATTAGTCTGCTGCATGAGTAAAAGACAACTCTCACCAACCTCTATATACATCACAATTTATAAATAAATAATATAAAACGTTCAAACTCACTGTAAGTACACAGATGAATCTGAGAACACATACGGAATCATTCTTCCAGATAACAAATTCATCATAATTACACTTATTTGAGAGAGAAAAAAATTAAAGTTGCACATATCGGATCAACACATTCAGATATCCACATCAGGTTCCTAATCTCCTGCTCCCTTAACCTCATGTATGCAAAGAACACGCCATAATGGAACTGCAGCTCAGGAAGGAAAACATATGTTCCATTGTCAGCTAAAAGGATGGATAGCGAATTGACTTAGAATACAAATTGTTTCAGATTTTTCTAGGAAGCATGTTACTTTCAGCAGAGCAAAAAAAGATTTCAACACCTCATTCTCTAAATCACAAACCTGTTGTTCGAATGCCAAGCAAAGCCTTTTGACCTCCTCTTCGTAGAATGCCTTACCCAAATAGCAGTCCCTAATCTAGAGAGAGAGACGTATTCGCAGGTCACTATTGCCACCAATTCGACTGAACTTCGAGCACAGACTACCATCGCCAAACTGAACTTCTCCGACCACTCGCCGTCACACGCTCATGCGAGTAGATCTAACGTGTTTTCACGCGCTCACGCACCTCTTCTTCTTCGGCTATTGCAATACAGGCTTAGATCCAAACCCTTCACAAATTGCTTCTATCTAATCCACTGGCTGCAAATCCTCCATTCTCTCCGACGCCGTGAAGATACCGTTCGCCTACCGCTCCTACATAGTCCGCACACTCGTGAAAAAGATCTCAGCCGTCAATTCTGAAGCTGTGGAGGGAAAAAAACTCCCTCCAATAAAAAGCGCACACGTCACCACTACCCATGTCTACATTCCAAGGACATATAAGGCCCATCATGCTCAAGCCCAAGTTGAGGGTATTTACAGCCCAAGACCATTGTCATTTGTCCTCCAACTTCCATCAAGGCCGAATCAAGAAGTCATCAGCCCAGCTTATGAGTATTTAACATCCGGCCTGTTACTCAAGCCCAGCCGGATCAAAATATATTCAGCCCAAGAATGCACAAGTCCTACCAATTAAAGGATTTACTGTAGAAGGAAAATTCTGATAGGAAGTTCTGTACAAGGCAAGTTCTATGTATGGAAAATTCGACAATGTAAAGAACTCTATTAGAAAAGAATGGTTATATAGAAAGAATTGGAGGGCAAGTAAGGCGAGTCCTACCATAATTTTGCAATCTTTTGTGTATAAATAGAGGCCAAGACCTCCAATAAAAGATCAAGCAATTCTACGCTTCTCTACACACTGTTCTCATTTAGTTTTATTGTTTTTGAGTGAGTTGTTTTATTTTTCTCAATCATTATTGGTTGAGCGAAATTTTGCACCTACACTTTGGCGCCGTCTGTGGGAAGCGTATAAAAATATATTCCCACTTGTTCTTCAAATTAAATCCTTTAGTCGTGTCTGGAATGTCAAACGGAGAGTCAGCAATGAATCAACAGATCGAATTGATGCAAAAGATGCAAGAAGAGTTCTTGCACCAATTTGAGACACTTCGGCAAGCAAACGATACGAGTGTCGCCCAGATAGCTGCGCTTCAGCAGCAGACTCATACGCTGCACACGGCCATGGCCAGGCTAACGCCACAACCACCACCAGGCGATACTGCAGCACCACCCCCACCCGGAATTTACCTCCGGTTCACGAGCCTCCAGCCAACGAGACACCACCCAATGGGGCTCGACCTAGTGAGGTTCAATAAAAGCAAGGGACGAGGTCCGAGGCGGTTGCTTCAGATAATCTCCCGCATCGCACACAGGACGAACAGGCCGAGTCCAGCCATAGGCTTACGGTATGGTCCAATGGTGTTCCAGATGGCGCACGTGTACAAGATGCCTTCGACGAAAAGAAGCTCTTGAGAGTCCAGACACCAGCCGAGATGGCTAGAGAGCACAAGAACTCCTTGGTCAAGACCCCCTTTACTGACGATGTGTACCTTATGGAGAGGCCGAAGAAGTTCACTATGCCATCCTTCACCCAGTTCGATGGGGCAGGAGACCCCTCTCGGCATCTCGATCATTATGCGCAAAAGATGGCACTGGATGATCATAACGATCCGTGGATGTGTAAGGTTTTTCCTACCAGTTTAACCGGAGCAGCGTTAGAATGGTTCAGGAATAGGCCACACAAGTCTATCCCTGACTATGAGACCTTGTGCATTATGTTCTTAGCCCAGTATTGCGGAAATAAGAAGCAGAAGAAAAGTATCGCCAGCCTTTTTACCATAAGGCAAAGGAAGGGAGAAACTCTCCAAGATTTTTTATCCAGGTTTAACATAGAGGCCTCGGAGATAGCAGATTGCCACCCTGCCACGGCAATCGAAACATTTAAGTTGGCAATGATCCAGGGAACCAAGTTTCACACATCCTTGGTCAAATATTCCCCCCCGGATATGTAGACTTTGAACGCTAGGGCACAAATCTACATTCGGTTGGAGGAAAACGTAGCCCACCGTGCACAGCACGCTACCCTCGTCACAGTGGAAAACAAGTCTCGAGAGAAAGCTGCGAGCACAAGGATGCAGAAGGTTCCTCATACCGCCACACAAGTCACCCAAGCGTCTGAGAAAAGGCGAAGGACAGAGGACAGGCCTACCCCTCTCCGTACTACCTTGGCGCGCCTATTCCAAGAGAATAAGACGAGGTTTGCGACTCCTCAGCCCATGAAACAACCCTTGGAGCAGAGGGACAAAAGCAAACATTGTGCCTACCATAGAGATTATGGGCACACCACCAATGATTGCAGGTCCCTACAGCGACAGGTAGAAAGCATGATAGCGAGAGGCGAATTGGTGGAGTATCTCGCCACGAAGGAGCACGTAAAACCTCGGGAGGTTAACCCTCGACGGGTAGAGGGCGGCCAGGTAAAGGTTATCCATGCTATACACGGAAGGTCAGAGGATGATGAAGAGTCTGAAGAGTTGTACAGATCTAGGCTGAGGGAGGCTTATAAGTTACGAAGATTATCTTCGGTAAACACGGTTGCACCAGGCAGCATCAACATTGGATTCGGTAACAATGATCTTTCTAGAGTCCAGCGCCTGCATGAGGACCCCTTGGTCATCAGCCTCCTGGTAGCGAATTATATGATCAGGAGAGTGCTGATAGATCCGGGAAGTAGCGCCAACATCATTACAAAAACAGTTTTTGATCAGTTGGGGGTTTCACCATCATCCATCAGGCCAACTTCCAGCCCACTAATGGGATTTGATGGCACTAAGGTGAATCCGCTTGGGGTGATCGATCTATCCGTTACTGCAGCAAAGAGGACTCTGAAGGAAAACTTCGTCGTGACAGAGATTCATCCATCTTATAACCTCATTATGGGGAGAGGTTGGATCCATCGTATGAACGGAGTCCCCTCTACACTTCATCAAGTAATGAGGTGTTTATCCCCGGATGGCAGGGAGGTCATCGACCTTTGGGGAGACCAGGTTGCTACAAAAGAATGTTACATGCTAACGCTACATGAAGCAAAGAAAGCGTCGAAATCACCTCAGTCAGAGGCGAATCCCAAAGACGCAATCAAATAGCAGTTACAGTACCCTCTGCCCAAGTATCTCAAGGCAGAGGAAGAAGCCGAAGCTGAAGCACCTACCGAGGAGTCCCTCGAAGCTATAGAGGTAGTCCTCGGAGACCCTCAGAAGATCACCTACATTGGCTCATCTTGCACAGCCGAAGAGAAGGAAGCATTGATCAGGGTCATTCAGTGCAATTCGGATGTCTTTGCTTGGGATCACTTGGACATGGTGGGGATCGATCCTACAGTCTCATGCCATAGTCTGAGGGTTAACCCAGAGTTCAGGCCAATCAAGCAGAGGCACCGACGGTTCGCACCTGAACGGAATCGCATAATAGCTGAGGAAGTAAATAAACTATTACAAGCAGGATTCATTCGAGAGGTGCAATACCCACAATGGCTCTCAAATGTAGTAGTCGTTCAAAAGAAGAATGGGAAATAGAGGGTATGCGTAGATTATACCAACCTTAACAAAGCTTGTCCAAAAGATAGCTTTCCTCTGCCCAAGATTGATCAAATGGTGGATGCTACGACGGGTTATGAAAGGCTCACATTCCTCGATGCATACTCCGGCTATAATCAGATTCCCATGAATCCTGAAGATGAGGAGAAAACCGCTTTCATCACAGAAACGGGCACTTACTGCTACAGAGTGATGCCCTTCGGTCTAAAGAATGCCGGAGCCACCTACCAGCGACTTGTCAATAAAATTTTCAATAATCTGCTGGGAAATACAGTTGAAGCCTATATCGATGATATGGTGGTCAAAAGTATACGGAAAGAGGACCACCCGAAGCACTATGAAGTTGAACCCCACCAAGTGCTCCTTCACCGTCTCGTCAGGACAGTTCCTTGGGCACGTCGTAAATAAAAGAGGAATAGAAGTAAGCCCAGCTCAGGCAAAAGCACTCATACAGAACCAGGAGCCGAAAACCCGCAGGGAAGTGCAAGTTCTAACCGGCCGAATTGCGGCTCTCAGCCGGTTCATATCCCGATTATCTAATAAGTATAAACCTTTCCTTGATGCTATTCGATCCAAAAACAAAGATATGTGGGGACCTCAGCAGCAGGAAGCTCTCAATCAATTGAAAAGCTACATGACAAAACCCCCAATCCTTTCTGCTCCAACGCCCGGAGACACTCTCATCCTGTACCTGGCAGTATCAGCTGTAGCAACAAGCGCAGTGTTGATCAAAGAAGGAGGCAAGGTTCAGCACCCAATCTTTTACACAAGCAAAACGATAACGGATGCCGAGACACGGTACAGCAAGACAGAAAAGGTAATCCTGGTGTTAATTTATGCCAAGAGGAAACTTCGACATTACTTCGAATCTCACAGCATAGTGGTACTTACAAACCACCCTATACAGGCTATCCTAGCTAAACCAGACCTGTCTGGTCGAATTACAAAATGGGCTATTGAACTTAGCTTTTTTGACATCACCTATGCACCGAAGGTATCTCACAAGGGGCAGTCGGTAGCGGATTTCTTACTAGAGTACGAAGATCAACCTGAGGAACCGACACTTCAAGAGCCATACTGGGAGTTACGGGTTGATGGCTCTTCTAACCGGAAAAGGACAGGGGCCGGGATTGACATCACAACACCCGAAGGTACCAAGCTTCAACAGTCAATTTTGCTAGATTTCCCATCTACTAATAACGAGGCTGAGTATGAGGCGATGCTCGCCGGACTTCGGCTAGCTAAACAGCTACAGGTACGATGTTTAAAAGTTTTTAGTGACTCACAGCTTGTGATCAATCAAGTGACAGGGCAATATTCTCCCAAGGAGGAACGTATGAAGTCATACAAAGATGCTGTAGAGAGTGTTATCCGGGAGTTCGATCAAATCGAGTTCCATCAGGTACCACGAGATGAAAATGCCAAAGCAGATCGATTGGCCG